GGGGGGTCTCTGGCATTTTAGTAGTATTTTAGAAATTGTTTTATAAAGCAGACAATCTGGCTCATGAGTGGCCTAATCTAATGTTTGTTGGAAAATTCATTATTGAATTAAAAGATGAAGGACATGTCCATTTTATAGATTTTTGGACCAAGGACCAAGGAAATTATACTTATTCACATTATTAGTTTTGCAGAGATGGAACATACCTTACTGGAAGCGATAGTCATGAGAAATTTTGAAAACAGATTTATTTATCCTGTTGCTATTGGATTTTTTTTTTTTGTTCCACAATTTATTACAACTTTGGGAAGATTGAAGAATACCGGACCACTCATACAGTATTGTGCGAGAATGTGGGGTGGGTGGGACGGGTGGTTGGGGTGGGGGGGTTCAGGGGGGTCTCCCCCCTGACAAATTATTAATGAATAGATCTACCGGTCCGAGATCCTCCATTGAGAGATATTTTTAAAAACTGGGGAAAATCATGAATTCCTAAGGTTGAGACAGGCAAAGTCAGTCCGCTTGTCCGGTATTCTTCAATCTTACCACAACTTTTAACATAATTTTTGTGAAGTACATGGTGCTCAACTGTTGATGAAGTCTGAAAAGTTTTTTAAAGGAAAATTATCCAGGGTATTAACAGTCATCCTTCATTCTTGATCATTGTTGGTTCTAGTTCCCAGCCCTATCTGCAGTTTAGATTATTGACCAATTTTAGCTAAACATTCCATATGCTGCACACAGTATTTAAAATAATTTTTAAAAACCCTAGCAGCAATAAAATGGCTGTAAAATTCATCTCCTGGCTTAGATATGTACCAGTATGCAGTAGATGCCTGCATTGCAGTTGGTCGAACTGATGGATGGCAAAAGTTAATGCACTTTGATTTCATTTTGTAAATGCCTTCAGTGTTAATATAATGTTGTTGACAGACAGGGGCCAATGGTTGTAAAGAGATCTAGTGCTTTCACCTGATTGAGTCAAGATTTAAAGTGTATGTTTAAAGGTTTTTGAGCAGAGGAGTGTCTACTTGAAATTAACATGTGTCTTTCGTCTTCTTATATTGTTTTCTTTGTTTACTTCATATCAAAATTATATTGTGAAGCTGCCAACCAAATCATTATTTTTGGTTTTGTTTTTGTTCATATATCTTCTTCTTGGGAATATAGTAGGTCATAAGAACTAACAATTTAATGGAAAATGTTGACTACATATGGTACCATATTATATACAATCTTTTAATTTTTTAGCTTATGTGTTGTCACAAAAATTATGTATTGTAGCTGGTCTGTATGTCATGAGGCCTCAGGGACAGAATGGTGTTTCATTCTTGTTGTGTCTGTGAAATGTCTTCTTGTACTTTTGTCTGTGTAATTTGAATTGAAGAGACTTGGAATGTTAATATTTTTTATTTGTGGTTGTTTGCTTCTCGTGATCTATAAACACCATGTCTGGTGTTTTATATGTGTACAAAACTTTCAAAATAAAGCTGTGCGATTGGTTGTAAAAAAGTCCCAGAAAGAACACATCTATCTACTTTATTTATATAAAGCTAAGCTACAGTGGCTCAAGACCCCTCAATGCTGTCATCTGCTAGTGGTTTTTGTATGTGAGAATGTGTGTAGGTCTGTGTGTGGCTAAATGGTGTCTCAGTTGTATTGAATGATAATTCTACACTGTACATAACAGCGCTCTAGGGATGATTATTTTATAGTGGTAGTTCATAGTAATAGCATTAGATTTTGTGTTGTTATAGTTTCATAAAAGTTTGTTGTTTTGCAATGAAAATTACAGCTCTATGATTATGAAAATGTTGTGGCATTATAAAATCACAGGTTTGTTCTGAATCCCAAATTTCTTGTAAGCAATTATCTGAGTGTTTTCTGGCAGTCAAACTGCACATTAATTTATTAATAATAATGTTTTGTTAAATATTTTTTTAGCAGGTGGCTGGAGGGGGGCACTGGTGTCTAACTTCTTTTATTCCCTCTGTTGTTCCTATCTTTGTCTTGATGTTTTCCTGCACTGGATGACCATTACTGTGTCAATGTGCTTCTCTTTACTCAAACACTAATCCTTCCTGTGTTGAGATATCATTGAAATTCAATAGGCTGATCTTAAAATATTAGAGGTTGTCAATTTCCTGCTCTTGTGGAGTTTATTGAGTGGCTTATTTTGTGCCTTGACGTAATAGGTCGGATTTACTTTTACCATTTTCAGTTTTGTTGTGCATGGCCAAAACAAAACTGTGATCATATTTCAAGCAATTTTACATAGTTACTTTCTATGTGGAAGTTTCATTACTTTGTTGGAATGTGTTTTTCACCTGAGGTTTGGAATTCATTAGCTGCTATATGCCAAACATTTTATTATATTTTTATGTAAAAATGATAGTGTAGAGATGATTTCTATAGCACCACCTAACCCCAGTACAACAGAACTCAAGATACTTTACTTACGTCTCCATACAAAGCACACAAGTCAATGAACACACACTCATTATATATAATAAGCTTTTTAGATTTAGTGCTATCACATAAGTAGACATTCATAATCACAGCACAATCCATGGCAATACGCTTATAAATATATATATATCACATTATGAACTTGGAAGTACTGTGTATGAAAGGGCTAACAAGATGGCATTTCATAAAGTATGTTTTTATATTGATTTTTAATTTTTCATCCGACTTTGTATCCATCAAATGTGAGAGAGAGTTCCGAACAGATGGAGCTAAATGAGGAAAGGACCTCCAAGCAAGTTTTTTTTACGTGCCTTCCAATATGTTTGTCTCATAAAAGACTAATCTCTTGATCTTAGTGGAACAGACATTTGAGTGAGGCTGCTTAAATTATATGAGGGTAGGGCTTTATATAAATTTGCTGACATATTTAATGGCAAAGGACAGCAATCTTGTAAGTTACTTAGATGTTGTTCGGAGGCAATGTTTTTTCAAAATGGATGTGAATTGATGTGGTCGTTTTTCCTTGATACTGTCTGAAGACAAAGGAATGAGAACGAGATGTGGGATTAATTTTCAGTGGTTTCCAACAAACAGTATGTCTGTAAAGAATGACAATAACCTACAGGGGAGACAAAGATATTAACTTTTAACATGTTGGTGCTTTTTTAAGGAATGGACTTTTGATATAGTGAAGTGTTTTTGTGCAGATACAGGCGTACATGTTTTTCTTTGTGTGCAAGGATGGTACATGTGGGGAGAGAAATGGATGTGGGTGGCTATAATGTTATTTATTTTGTAAGAAAATTCCTTGTTTATAGATGATACACAAGTTTTTATTTTTCGTATTTTTTCTAGAATCAAAAGCATTCAGTTTATTGTTTTTTTTTTTTTTTAAAGAAAATGTGTGAAGATAATAGCAATGTGAACTTCATTAAGAGAATTGTCCCAGTGCAGTCAACTAAGAATTGAGAACACTGTATTATATCTAGTTTATTCAGTAAGTATGTGTTCGTCACAAGGAGATATACAATTATTGTGAAAGACCATGAAGAGAAGAGAAGATCAAAGGTAGGCCTACTCACACTTAAAAAGTTATTACTTTTAAAAAAATTGTATTTGTTAACTTCAGAGAAAAGGTGGGAGTAATGGACGCTTGATAGTCTATTGCTGTGATCAGCACCGTATGAATTAATTA